CGTTTCCAGGCCTGGGCTCTTCACCCGCTTCCTGCAAAGGTATGCTGTCACTAGCTGCACTAGCTCCTGCATAGTACTTTGCTTCTCCGCTACTGAGACTCACCTACTTCTGGGTCCACCTACTTCTGTTGAACTGCAGACATAGCTCGCGGATCAGAGTCTCGTGTGTTTGCGTCTGTCCACCAGTGCATGACACGCAGCCATCAGGCCTGAGATTTCAGATAGCCGTGTGAATGAAGCAAAGCAAGTGTGACAAGAGCCTCGTCGTTGCGTCAGCATGATTCAGGTGACTGGGATTGCACCGAAGTTAGAAGTCGAGCGTTGAGTGTTGAGTGTCTGGGTGGGAAAAGGAAGTCCGGGATGCTAACCCGCTACGCCCACGCGAGGGTTAGCTCACTCTTCAATTCCCTGTCTGAATTCCAGTGTGTTGAAAAGGTTAGCTCACTCGTCAATTCCGTGTCAGAATTCCAGTGTTGTGCGGGGCCTTGTCTGCCTCTGTTTCGTCAGCAAAGAGGGGCTCAGATGTTTACGGAGGGGTTGGCACTGATTCGTAAGACCTGCACAATTAGTTAGCAAGCTCTTCTCGTTGTGTCTTCGTTTGTCTCTGCCGTCCCAGTCTGCCCCCGGAATCAAGCGCCTGACTAGAGTCACTAGAGATCGTGCGATGATGTGTTCAGCTGTCCCTGAGCGAGGTAAAGCACTTTCTGGTGGTGACGTGGCTGCTGGGGCTCTTCGAACCTCCCGGCATCCACTCCTACAAGTTGTCCGAGCCGCCTCCGATCAACATCACCAACTCAAGAGACCCGACAGTGGTTCGCGGGGCTGGGTGGGTCAGAGTTGCACTTTTGAGTTCAAGGCTTAGTCTAAAAGTTAGGGTTTAGGGTTTAGGTTTCACACTTGCATGGTGACCAGGTGCATGACGCAGGTGAGATGAACACAATGCCCGAGCCGCAGGAGGCCCGCAGTACGTTTCTGACTTCGAGAGGCATCTTGCTTCTTCTCGAAGCTGAAGTTGTCCATTGAGTCTGAAGATTGGGTTCTTCATGTGCAGCTTCCAGATTCGGATGTACAAGACCTTGGCCAGGGAGTCTTGAAGTTCTTGCTGGACAAGGCGGGCGCTGGCTTGAGTGCGATCCACGTATCCAGCATCCTAACACGGCTCGGCATGTCTTCCTTCTTTCTCCAGAAGCTGTCTCGCAGGTGGCACGGCTGGAGACCGAGCTGAAAGCCGCGCATACCGAAATCGATACCATAAAGGAGCACGTTGGTTGCTTGACAGCACTCTCGGCATGTGTTGCTCATTCTCACGCGTCAAGCTTTGTTTGGAAGCTGCCAAGGCTTGGACATCCAGCACGTTGCGATGCCGAGGAGGGGATCTCGTGATCCCCACGCAGGAACGGATGTTCTCAAGAAGGTCTTAGGCAAGCACCACCACCAGCGCGAGACGGGCAACTACGATCCCCAAACCCACAAGGACAGACGAGATGTGAGGTTCCTCCATAGGAGAGGCGCAGTTTCGGAGCAGTGCACTGCAACAGGACCCTGTGGCGGATGCATCCGAGGCGCTCCTCGCACGTGAGGCACGGCGTATTGGGGCATCCTCAAGTGACTCAAGTGCTCAAGTCGCTGGCGTTTTGTAAACGGTTGCCCTTTCTGGCCAATCAAACTAAAGCAGTTGACTCAGAGGTAAGGAATCCGCAGCCCGAGATGGTAGAGCTTGGATGACTAGATGATGTCGGATAGTTGGCATGAGGGCAACAGGGTGTCCCATGACAAAACACAAGGCCTTATATGAGGGACACCCTTGGACAGTGACCTGCCTCTAGGACGAGACTTCAGAGTCGGATGAGACTGGTATCATCGCCGGGATCCCCAACGGGTTGAACCCCTCGAACGCTATCCCGTTCAATCTGGGCTGCAGTGTGACGGAGCCGGACGCTTGGGTGGAGGGCCGGACGCTGAATATCAGCTTTGGCGGCTTCAATTGCTGGCTATCGGTTGCTGGCACCCGGAAGACCATCGACCTGAGGTTTGGCAGCAGAAAAGTGGAGCTTCCGCCTCCGCCCCCTCTCTTGCCCGAGCTGCAGCGGGCTGTCTCGATGATGCGTGATCTTCGGAGAGCCGACGGCTGCAACAGAGACGACATATTCCACTGCATGGCCAAGAAAGTGGCGGACCGCCTCTTCGCGCCACCCATGACTTTTCTGCCAGACACGCTAAAGGCTGTTGTCAACACGGGCCCGGCATACTTCCAAAATGCGATGAACATGATGGCGGATCTTCTGATCCCGACGGACGCGGACTGCGATCTAGGCAACACCTTTGACTGCATGGCCGAGAAAGTGGCGGACCGCCTCTTCGCACAACCCCTGACTTTTCTGCCAGACCAGCTAAAGGCTGTTGTCAATGCCGGCCCGGCGAGCGTCCAAAGGGTGTTGAGCATGATGACGGATCTTCTGAACACCCCCAACTGCGATAAAGCCAACACCTTCGAGTGCATGGCGCAGCACGTCTTTCACTGGATGCCACCGCAGTTGCGCACAGTCGTGAATGCGGGCCAGGAAGGCGTCGACAGGGTCTTTGCGATGATTCGTGATCTCCTGAATACCGCCAATTGCGATCGAGGCAACACTTTCGAATGCATGGCACAGCACGTCTTTCACTGGCTGCCACAGCAGTTGCACACAGTCGTGAATGCGGGCCAGGAAGGCGTCGACAGGGTCTTCGCGATGATCCGTGATCTTTTGAACACCGCCGGCTGCAACAGAGGCAACACCTTCGAATGCATGGCCAAGAGAGTGGCTGGCTACGTGAGGCAGTTCGAGCCTCCCGTTCCCGTGCCTGATCACCTCATGAACTTCTTGCCTCATCAACTTCATACGGTTGTCAATGCGGGCCAGGAAGGCGTCGACAGGGTCTTCGCGATGATCCGCGATCTTCTGAACACCCCCGGCTGCGACAGAGGCAACACCTTCGAATGCATGGCCAAGCGTGTGGCAGGCGACGTCATGAAGTTCGAGCCGCCAGTGAACTTCATGCCCAGTCCCGTCGGCGTTCTTGCAGGCTCGAATGTCAACTCCGTGAAGAGCTTGATGGCCATGGGGGATGACCTGATGCATTGCCAAAACTTCGAGTCCGGCCATGAAGTCATGAAATGCCTGGGCTTCAAGATCATCGAGCGGGTACCTCCTCTGAGCTACTTGAATCAGCTTGGTGATTTGATCGCTGAGACCCTCGACACCTTTGCGAAGGTGGCAACTTCTTTGGCAATGAAGGCTCTAGGCGGAGGCACTTCCCTTATCGAGAAGGCCAGTGTGTCCCAGTTCCCGCCCGTCGGAAAGATGCCAGTTCGCCACGAACGTGGCAACCTGGTCGTCGAGATGCACTCACAAGAGATGCATCCCTCACTGTTGCAGCTTGCTGCAGCAGAGAGGGAGCAGCAGGACTCGGAAGTGCCAGAATTGGAATTGCAGGATGGTGGTGATGTCCATGTCACTGATTTGATCACCCAGTTCAACGGCAAGGAGGTCGATTCCGGCTCTTGCTTGGCTTTTGCTCCCCGAAACAAGAACGGAGCTCACGTTGGCAACCACCAGGAGGCAACAAAAGACGACTGGACATCTGCCAAGAAGGAGGACTTCGTCCAGCTGGAGCCTTGGGCGGTGCCGTGTGACAACACATGGATGAAGGAGACCGGGATTTTCTGTCGTGAGTTCATTTGGCTGCATGTTGGCAAAGTATAGATAGATCCGCATCGTAGCAGTTTCAGCAGACGTGTGCAGGTTTTAGGTGTGGTGTGCGGAGTGAGTGAGCGAATGCGTGGGAGTTTGTAGGTGGATTGAGCGTGATTGGAAACGTTGCAGGAGAACTGGAACAAGTGGCAGGGCTTTTCCTTCTACACTGCAAAGACGGCCGTCGAGAAGTGCCTAACAGTTAAATTTTCCGTGAGCCTGCAGCCTGTGCTGGCCTTCATCGGAGGCTTGAGTTTTGATATCCTGCCGGACGAACTCTTCGAGTTGGTCACCACCGTGTGTTGGCCGAACCAGATGCCGGGTGGCCTTGACTTGTCCGTCCTTCGGTCGGAGATCAAAACCAGCGGCCACCTGCTCTTCAGCCGGACACTGCGGCTTGCGAAGCGTTTCGGCAAGGACACAGACTTCGTGAAGAAGAACCTGGACAGCAGCTACAAGACCTGGAGGTCTTCCATTGGCATCGCGGAGGGGGAGAGCGGGTTTGCATTTGCACCCATGTCGCTTCTAGGTGGTAACCGCAGTGAAGAAGTTCAAGGAGATGGCCAAGAGACCGAGTATTGGATCGACCCAGAGGAGCTCTACCTGTCTTCCATCGACTATGGCGACTCCATGGAGCCCAACCGGACCTGGGAATTGCGAGGTGAGGATGCCATGCTTCGCCTGAGCAAACTGCAGGAGGCCAAAAAGACGGGAGAGACGGAGGAGGTCGTCGAGCTCTTCAGCTTCAAGAAGCCGGGGAATGTCTCGAGCTTTCACGTTCGAGGCCTGCTTGATGGCAACATTCTGGAGCTGGGCGTCCAGATGGGCTACGGACCTTACCAGAGCCCAAGTCGGAGGATTCCCTTGGCTGACATCGGAGCGCAATTTGCAGTCGTCCTGGCCGCAATCCCTTGGATCTCTGTCGAAACCAAAAAGACGGCCGTCGCTGCTCTGAAGGACTTCTGGCCGGGACAAGAAGAGCTTGAGGGGCCCCAGCCAGCCGACAAATCTTCCATGGTGGCCTGGTTCCAGAGCGAGGACGCCAGCGCAGATTGGAAAAGCTCCGTGGGCAGCTGGCAGGGTCGTGTGACGAGGGGCAGTGTCACCAGGAAGGTGGAGGCTGGCCACGGTGCCAAGTTTCCGGTTGCATACCTCGCCGGCGACCCCCACGCCGGTTATGACTTCGGCCAGATCATGAAGCAGGACTACACCATTTGCTCGGTCACCCGCTATATCGAAGGAGGATTACGAAAGCGAATTCTCCAGCACAACCAGCCCAACTGGCTTCACGGCCACTGGGAAGGAAAAGTGGGGGTGACATTTTACAACTATCAGTGGGTGAACCAGGACGGGCTGCTCACCGGCTTGACCGATTGGCTTGTGCTGTGCGGCAACAGCGCAGGGGTTGTTCTCCGAGGCCAGGAGAGGAAGAATCTTGGACAGCACGCGGCCGGGGAGGGAAGCCCGGATGCCCACTTGTACATTAACGACGGGCACTTTACGGAGTCTTCGGACTTTGGCGTCATGGAGGTGATCGTTTGGAACCGAGCGCTGTCGGAACAGGAGATGTGGACGAGCATGGAGTACCTGAACTCGAAGCTCGGCCCAACACCGAAACCGGCGGACGAGTCTTCCATGGTGGCCTGGTTCCAGAGNNTCGGAGGGTTTTGGGTGTCCATTCTTTACGGTTGGCATCTTCAGGACTGCTTTGAGCTATGTCGAGAGAGCATCGCCTGAGGCTTGCTCCAGACAGGGCAGACAGGTTTTAAGGTCCGTCGATCTCCTTCAGCGATAAGTAGCTCTTTGGTTTGCGGGCGCGACCTCGCACCCTGAACCCTCCGAGACAGAGTGTTGTCCCCTGCAGCTCTCAAAAAGGGGAAGCCGGAGAAAGCTGAGAATTGCTTCTGAGCAGACTGGAGGCATGCATTCCGTAAGCCCAACATCTCTTTAACAGCTTGGACCTTGCATTTCTTGTTTCGGGCTCGAAAGCAAGTTGCTTGCAGAAGCCGACGTGACATTGTGTAAGCTTCATGGGAAGGACATGTGGTTAACCCGTTGCACCCGAAAGACGGAGCCGTGTAGCATTTGGGGGTTTCCGAAAATAGGGGACCCTAATATAGTACCCGAAATAATAGGATCCCTACTATAAGGGCCCCCAAAATAAGGTACCCCTAAACCCCTAAACCCTAAACCCTAAACCCTAAGACAGT